CGACATGAACTCGGCGCTGAGGTCTTCTACCAGTACTGAGTGGCATGGCCCGCTCACCTCTCTGAGCCCGGACGGTAGGATCTGGCAGCCAAAGGCTGACTATGCCACGGATGCTGAACGCACGTCCGCGTCGGCATATATGGAGAGTGACCGTTTCCGTCCGACCGGTGTTGAACAATTGTTTGTTTTTGAAAACATGTTTTGCAACCTCGTCTCCAAGTCTCCCCAACCTCATGATGTGATGGACGCGACCTGTGCCACTGTTGATACAGGATGCCAACGGCTCGCCATTGGAGCACGCACCCTTCGAGAGTTCGCTCAACATCTCCCTGAACCCCTGAAGATTACCCTTACTCCAGAAACTAACAGGTTCAGGAGCGTGCATCAGACCTCAGTCACGACCAAGGTTGCCACCATTCCGTGTTCCTTGGGTAACAAGGGAAGCTTCCTGAAGCCCGCCGTGTTTGAAAACGAGGAAAGCTCTGGTGCGCCCTTCCTCATCTCACTCAGCTTCTTACTTCATTGTCATGGAGAAGTTATTCTCTGTCATGAACAAGGCCTCCAGTTACGACTCCGAGGAACTTCAGAACCAGTACCCCTTCACCTTGGACCAACTGGCGCTTTACGAATTCCACTTCAACAATACAACCAGGTGCAAAAACAAGAACTTGAACGAGAACAGAAATCGATGAACCAGAGTACCTCGGTCGAGTTTGAGGTCTTGAAATTGCAGGACGGCTGCATGGAACCGCCGAAGCTGAGTACAATTCAAGCCTCGAGCCCACTAGCTACTCCGCATCCAGCCGCTTGCCATGCAGACCGCGGGCCAGAAGCGAGTTCGCGCCGGTCCAACTCCCGAGGAAGAGGACTTCCAACAACATCGAGTCCTTCAATCGTGGTTCCGCCTGATGAGGCGCTTCCTCCTGGCGCTCATGCCCCTTCAGCAGATGCTGGAAAGGTTCATGGATCACATGCTCAGTACAAAACCTCACCGGGAGGCCCTGAAGGAGATGATCCGGTCCTTGCCAGACGAGGATCTCCCCATGATCCAGAATGTGGCCCGCCAGGAGATGAATCGACGAGAGGACACCGGCCATCGACCTCAGGCAGACGGATACTGGTCCAACCTCAGCGAGACCAGCACTCATCCAGCTCGTCGACCACGACCTCCTCCAGACCCAGTTCTCACCGAAAGATGCCGGCAGATCAACAGTCTACCAGGTATCGAGATGATCTTGGAACCACGTCCAAGATGCCAGTGTGCCCTTCAGTGCAAGATCCATCTCAGCGATTCGGGTCCAACGGGACACAACTACAAGAAGCTGTACTTCCGCTGCCCCTTGGAGCAGGGACATCAATGCCGATTCGTCAAGTGGTGCGACCAACAGCCTCTCTTGAGCCTGGAAAGCTGGCGTCACCGGCAACAGCCCGGCGACGAGCCTGTGAGCTACGCCCAGATCTTGGAGGCCATGATTCAAACCAAATGCCAGCACAAGGAAACCCATCGGAAAGGTTCGAACGCCTTCCTCACCAAGGTCACCTGCAGGATCTGCAACAAGGTCATCAAGGTCCGAGAAGATCGGAAAGATGGAGGGGACCAAGTCCAAGGCCAGCACGACATCCTCAAGCTCGGTACCACACTCTCGTCAGGGAATCCCCTCACCAGCGACTCCTCAGACCACCTCGGACGGCACCGACCTGGAGCACCTGACCGACTATCAGGAATTTCAAGAATATCTCCGTTGGAAGAACCAACGGCAGCCTCCGAACCGGGAGGACCAATGAAGCAGGTGACTCCGAAGCTGGAACGGAAGCTTCGTGCTGCAATTAAGAAGGCAACGGCTTTTTGGCGAGAGCTTCAGCTGCTCCTGGCCGATATGCCTTTGCAGTGTTGGGCCCAGGCCCTAAATGACGAAATTTGCCAGGAGTTCACTATGAACCCAGCCGGCACAAAAAGATCTCGCGAAATAGCAGAAGTTATGGGATTGACAGTTAAACAACTTAAGACGGTTGCTGAAGTGTATAATCCTGGTTGTTTTCAGAAGATCACTGGTCGTTTTCACTTGTCTCCCGGCCGCGCTTTCGATTTGATTCTAGGAGATGACTTGCTGTCCACAAACAAACAAAACGAAGTCTGGCAGTATGTTCAAACGACCAAACCAGGACTTGTTTGCATCGCACCACCTTGCAAAATGTACACTCAACTTCAAAACCTTTCTAAGGAGAAACGCGCTCGACTGCCTGATCTCATGAAACGATACTTGAAAAACAAGGCAGAAGGTGATAGGTTACTGACTTTCGCCATCCGGTTGTGCGAATCCTGATGACCTTGGGATCAAGTTCATATTTGAGCACCCGCATGCCGCATCATCCTGGAAACATCGTGCCATGGAGCGGCTGCTGGCTCGACCGAATGTCATCTACACGAAGGCTGATCAATGCCAGTATGGACTACAGGGTCAATCTGGCCTTCCTCAAAGAAAACGAACTGGGTTCGCAACAAACTCAGAGGCCATATCTCAGGCCCTATGCAAGCTTTGTCCTGGCAACCACGAGCATGAGGTTATCATTGGAGGTAATCGTTCCCAAAGATCACAGGTCTACCCGGAGAAACTCCGAGCAGCCATCCTGAAGGCCTACAGCCAGTCCATCAACGTCGCTCATGTTGAAACAGTCAGCTCGGAAAGCATGCTGGCCGAGAACCACAGGCTAAACTACATCATCGACACTGAGTTCAGGGCGCTGAAGAGCCTACAACCAGAAGTACCTGTTGGTCTTACAGAATGCCAAGACCCCGATTCTCGAGTTCCTGACGGCCCAGATTCTCGCCTACCGGAAGTACCGGCCTACGACACCGCCGAGATCTTCGCACATGGAGAGGATCAAGAAACCCATGAACCAAACGGATCAGGAGACCAAGAGGATGATCTGGAACCACCACACGAAAGGGAACATGAAGAAGGCGAAGCTCAGGAAGTACCTGAACAACAACTACCACTTCATTCACGTTTTCCGCTGGAACGCCTTCTGCACCGAGCACACGTTGGTCTGGGACACCCGACCCCAGATCGATTTGTCAGGATCCTTAGGTACGCCAAAGCCAAACCCGAAGTCATTGAAGCTGCCAAGCATCTCCGATGCAGTGTCTGTCAACGACACTCCCAAGTGAAGCCTGCTCGAAGAAGTGCTCCACCGAAGGAACTGGCCTTCAACGAATGCATTGGGGTGGACGTCATCTTCCTGCCAACCCTCGGTAGTCGGTCACGCCCAGCTCTAAACATCATCGACTGGTCCAGCAAGTTTCAACTCATGATCCCCATGGATAACAAGAAACCAGGCCATGTACGAGAGGCCCACAGACATTGGCTACGTCTATTCGGCCCTCCAAAACGAATGGCCCTGGACCTGGGACGTGAATTCCGAGGAGCCTTCGCAGAACAAGCAGAACAAGACGGAACTTTTGTCGACCCCTCGGCAGTTGAGGCTCCACATCAACGAGGCATCACTGAACGTCACGGAAAAACCTTTAAGTATCTCCTCCAGAAGACCATGGACACCTTCAGCTGTGCCAACATGAAGGAGTGGGAGAAAATGGTCGACATCACCATGATGACCAAAAATAGAATGATGAACGTTGGAGGTTTTAGCCCCAGCCAACGGGTGTTAGGCTTCAATCCCTTCCTACCCGGAGGTCTTCTTAGTGGAGATGATGGTCACCGAGGACAACAACCAGAAGCCAAAGTCGGCGACCTCAGTGTCGAACGGGCCATGAAGCTTCGAAAGGCTGCTGCACATGCCTTCATCGAAGCAGATGCCAGTAACTCCCTCCGAAGAGCAGTAGCTTCGGGCCCCCGACCCATCCTGGAGTATGACATCGGCGAGATTGTCTACTTCTTCCGAATGGGAGCTGACAAGAAACTGAAGTTCAAACCATGCTACTGGCACGGGCCGGCAAGAATCATCATGATCGACCAACCTAGCACCATTTGGTTATCATACCAATCTCAACTGGTCAAAGCCAGCCCAGAGAGAATCCGAAGACCCTCGTTGGAAGAGAACATGGCACTATCTGGATGGTTGGAAGATCTCGTGCAGCTGAAGAAGGACATTGTCACGGAACCGATTCGAGGATTCCTGGACCTGTCCGACCAGCCGCTCCCCGAGATCTTAGACGATGAAGCCAACAATGAGGAGTACACTCCGACCGAACCAGATGAAACTCCAGACCAGAACATTCCAATGGAACCAGCACTACTACCAGGACTACAAGAACCCATGGGCTACCCAAGACCATTGAAACGCTATCGAGAAAAAGGGCCACAAGATAATTTGGTTGATGATGATGGACAATCTCCCCAACCAGAACCTGATGACGAACGACCAGGAGAACCTCAACGAGATGAAGAGGTCCTACAACCACCCGAACCAGAACAGGAACGAGAAAAGAGATCACATGAAGAAGAAGAGCTGGATGAACATCCCAGCAAAAGATCAAGATTGGAATTCTTAGAAGCCTACCTTCTGAAGGTGGAAAACCTGATCAAGGGAAGACAAAGAAAAGAAGTTCGACTACAAGAACTTAACCACCGCAACCAGAAATGCTTCAAGAATGCCATTGGCAAGGAGATCCAGAATAACATCAACATTGGTGCTTACACCATTGTCAGCCCCGAAGAATCCGCTCGAGTCAGACAAACCATGCCGAACAAAATCATGGAAAGTCGACTGGTCCTCACACCCAAGCCACTGGAACCACACGAAGTGGAAAAGGCCAAAGAAGAAGAAATACTTCTGGATTGGGACACCGATGAACCCTGCAAGGCCAAGGCTCGCCACGTCATGAAAGGCTTCAGTGAAGAGGGGGCTGAGAACATTGAGGCGACCACTCCACAGGTGACTAGAGAAGGCACCCTCAC